TTATAAAACATGGAACGCCACGCTTCGAATAAGCAGTTCATCATTAGTGGACCCCAAGGATGACTGGTTACTAGACGCAGCATATCGTCCCCTTTTCCTTTCCTCCGTGGCCTCTAGTCCACAAGCGAANGCCGAGTGGACCCAGTTGGACTCCACCCCCCACTAAGCGAATTTAGAAAAAATAGGGTTTCTTGTTTTTCCCGATAACGAACGACCGGTAAAGTCACTGTGGATTTAACACCAATATAACGGTTCCCATTGTTCCATGACAAATGTCTCTATACGAACGATGCTGAAGGTGACGATACGCCTCAAAATATGGTCCAACGTAGCGCTAAACGACACGGTATAAGAAGTAACGACGTTTCTGCTGAAATACCGAGTGACATAAAATGCGTAACATTTTCTTTTTTTCGTTTAATTACCGACGCTCAGCACCCCTAATAATATGGCGTCGAATGGTCGGAAGATACTGAATTGGAAACAATGTGGAGAGAAAAAGTTGTGTCCTGATTCAGAGTACTAACACGGGATTTGCCTGTAGGGACTGAGGAATACCACGGCAAACTTCGGTCAGGACAGTCGGTGTTCTGACCAAGATTCGAACCGGCCTTCCGAAGGAACATATTCTAATTCATTTTAATCCTTTGAAACACAAATTTCTTACAAACAATATTGAAAAATTCAGCTCCTACTCACAGAAAACACGCTGGGTCTCCATTATAAAGACCAATCAGTTAATGCAGTAAACAAAATAGTGGTTGTTTATTCTGAGAATCACATTAAGGCCTAATAGGTGTTCTTTCTTTTTGATGGCAAGACAGACCCAGCTATACAAACCCGTTACACAATGTAACGAATTATTGAGCTGGCTTGGACAATGCCGCCCGGAATTTTATCCATATATAAAGTTTTCCACTCTTTAATTAGAGCTGCTTTAGAAATAATATTCAAGAATGACACCTTGTTCAATACAGTAGCTATAACTTTCTTTCCTAACCCAAAACGAGTCCACTTGTGAAACTCAAATTTCATTTACTAATTAATTAATTTATTTATTTTATTTTGTACACTGCAACTCCATTCCAGTCTATGATTAAAAGTAACGATGGTGGTTATAAAGTTACAGATAAAATGTCATTAACAACATAAAAAAGTTTAATAATTTCTGCTTTGAATGTAGGTTTCATCCTATGTGCCACCCTGTAATATAAAACCTAAAACAATATGCAAAGCAAATACACGCTGTCATAAGAGCGTGGTGCTGCTGCAGTAAGGCAGTATAACTGGGAGATACCTGGCGCCAATCCAAATAGCGAACAACACATCCACACAGCAGATCTCGGCGAGTTTCCTTCAATGATGGGATAATGCCTTAAAATAAACTACTTCCGGTTCCACCCACCTTTCTCCATTCACCATTCACAATTATCCTACCATTTCATTCAAATTATGTATGCATTTCTCGTCTATCCAATGCATTCTATGCGTTTCGCTCATCTCATACTCCTTTTGACCACCCATATACCTGGTAAAATGCACAGCTTCCCATGTTCATGCCATGAAGAAGCATGGGGGAGTAAAGCGTAGCTTCACCCATTCTTAACCTCGACACTGGATTCAGGTAAGTGGACTGCTTCTTGCCCCGGCCGCCTTTTTCCCCGGGGGAAAAGTCATTGGCACCCACTGAATAAGGGGCTGGTTGAGCCCCAGAGACGGCCGTAACGATATGGAGAAGAATCTCTTACCCCAGCCGGGAATCAAAGTCCGATTCCTTGGTCATCCGGCATGCCCTGAAGAGTACGTTCATCTGGGTTGTAACGCTGTACAGTTTGGAGAAAGGCCGACGTTTCAGGGGAATATATCGGCTCTATCTTCAGGGATGAAGAGTAAGCCAAGCAAGAAACCAGCAAGAACCAGGAGGCATGCAGAGAAAATCACGAGTGGAAAATCAAGCCGGACATAAGCAAGCGCAAGCTGGAAAGGAACTACGAGGGAGTCAAATCCTATACTGCAGGATCCTTTTGTATCTCATATGTAGTCACTCCCAACCCAACAGTGACAGTGATGTTACTGTCAGCTATCGTACTGTTTGAATCGCGATATCATTTCAACGTCTCAATGAAAATTATAAAACATGGAACGCCACGCTTCGAATAAGCAGTTCATCATTAGTGGACCCCAAGGATGACTGGTTACTAGACGCAGCATATCGTCCCCTTTTCCTTTCCTCCGTGGCCTCTAGTCCACAAGCGAACTATTCCGACCGAGCGACCGCCGCTTGTTGGCGAAGTTAGTGCCAACTTTTGCGGATAGAGGGTCTCGCGTGGTCAGCGCAATGGATTCCCACGGCCGTTAATCTCGGTTTTCTAGACCGGAGGAATATCGTCCCCTAGTTTGGAATATTCAGTGAACTGCCGAAATGATGTGGCGAATAAACTATTACGATATGTACCAGTAATAGACCTATCACTGTTGTTCTGTTGTGTTATCACGATAATATATGGGGCCTGTTCAAATTAAACGTATTCGGGAATTGCTCTGGGAGGAGAACTAGAGTTCGATAAAAAGAGTCATCATGGACGCTGGGGTAGGCATCCCAACCGAGGCACCTGCCTATGGAACCCATCCGCAAAGAACTCCCTTGACGGCCGCTCTCGAAACCAACTCATCACTGCGGCCTTAGCAACCAGCTAACGGGTTTCATTTGAACAACCCTCATACATTCTACTCTCAACCCATACATATTCTTCTCCTAGGGCAACAAACAAAGGTTCACATCGATATTAAACGACAGGTAAAGTTTGTAGGGGGGTTCATATTTTATGTTATTTTATGTCATTTTTTGTTTTCTGACAGGAGGCGCAAAGACAAAAATTAGATGGAACAGTTGCAAGCATTCACCGAATCTAACGTGTTCTTACTAATTCGTGAGCATAATTTCAAGTTTCGCTCTGCTACTCTTAGGACGGATTTATTACCTATTTCAGTATCAATTAACATTTTGTCCTACATTCTCAGGAGACATGAACATACACAGGAGTTCAATGTCAGTATCATCGACGCTAAACAACCAAATGCACGACAGTAATTTCTTAAATATTACAAGTGAATTAAAACCCGCCACTCTTGCAATGGACGTTTCATATGGATTTTTTCTACAAGCTTTCGCAATCGACTGCATACCAAGTGTCACTACACTGGATCTCTCCGAAGGTAACATTTGAAACTACGAAAATCGCGATGACGCAACTGCTGCAGGTGCGTCCACAATAGCATCCTGTATGCTACGTAAACCGTAACCTTAGGCTGTCAGTCGATGTGTCTATCATGTAACTACACTAACACACATTAACGTTGCCTAGGTCTATTATACCCCACAGCAGATGCAGGGTAGGGCTGGGTAAACTCCAGGTTTATTGTTCTTTGCGATTCTGTAAGGAGATCTACTGGTACGACAGCACTGACCTCCTAATCTCTAAAGAACGTGCAGGAACATACCAACTCATGGAACAGAAACCTTGAGCGGCCGATATTCGCTCACTTGCTCAAGAAATTCCCCACCTTTGTGGAGCACAATGTGTCTTTGTATCACAGATAAGTACAGGTAACCAATATTTAACTCAATGCAGAATACATATTCCGCAATGAATTAACCTATTTCCCCGGGTCTTGTGTTTAAAACATCTTAATATTCATTCCTGCAATCTCTATTCATTTTTAATTACATACTAATCTATCGAGACCTTCACATACATGAATCGAACGTGCAACAACAGTAATGATCGAATAAATCACTGTACTTAATCATTCGATTTGGGTCGCTTTCCATAAATGAGCTACCGTGTAATTACGGCATAGGCAAAGCTGTCCCTGTGCTTAAGCAACACGCCTCAGGGACATACGAGAAGCAGACGTAGAGCTCCAAACATTCTTAACTTCACCACTAGAGGTGAAAAGCCAACTTCATGATCCAGCTGTTTCAGGTTCGGGGAAGTCCTTAGTGATCACTGGAGGGGAGGTCGAATGAGGGGAGGTCGAATGAGGGTCAGAGCCGATCTTGACATGGTGAAGGGGAAAGTCCCTCCGGCAGTCAAAATGTACTGACCAGGTTATTCCATTTCATTTACGAGTATTTTGTAATCACACATTCGTGCTACAACAGCTACGTTCCTACTAAGTTCCATGTTTATTGGGACCTGTCAATCTAATTATGCACCTCTGCCTTCTGTACGTCCATGGTTGTAACCAACTACCCTTGCCAAACTAACTAGCATATACTGTCCTTTTACTCGTTAGCATTCAAACCACTACAAATAAAACGAACTCCGTGATTTTAGTCCGCAAGCAAACTATACCGACCGAGCGACCGCCGCTTGTCGGCGAAGTTAGTGCGCCTCTGTGATCTAGTTGTCAGAGTTCCTGGCTACAGATCAAGAGGTCCTGGTTCGATTCCCGGCGCTACCAAATTTTCTGAGAAATAGCGGGTCTGGAACGGGGTCCACTCAGCCTCGTGAGGACAATTGAGGAGGTATTTCAAGCAAATAGCGGCTCCGGTCTAGAAAACCGAAATTAACGGCTGTGGGGATTCGTTGCGCTGAAAACGCGACACCCTCTATCCGCTAAAGTTAGCATTTAAACAACTATGCAGTTCAACTCTGATGCGTCCGAAGGGAATGGTTAAGCCCCTGCTCAGTAACGAGGAAGTCCGGAGTTTAATTCCCTACAACTTCATTATCCAGGGCAAGGAACCATTGGGGGGAGGGGACGCTACTTATTCCCAGACACACAAAGTATCGAATTGGTAGAGACGAGTCTGCTGGAAATAGTCCCTGGATCTTAGTGGTCTCCAATCCGAAAACATTTGCTCGGAACGCGAGTGCTTTGGGACAATATGACCATGATTCTGTTCCATGGGTTTAGTTAATGTGGAACAGTGGGTGAAAATCTCCGACTGTGTGCATTTCAGTCGTCCTGATACCAACGCGAGCTTCACTCACCTTCCTGACGGATACCCTCAGGATACAAGGATCCAATACCCCAGTAGAAGCATTGGCGCTCATCTTGCAGACGAACTCGAATTTGGCACCCCACCGAACAGCGTGATCCTGGACTTCTTCCCTGTGTGAGAAAAGTCATCATTCATAACATAATACTACAGAGAGAGAGAGAGAGAATGGAAAGATAATAATGAGACCCATGAAATTCATATTGTGACATGACGGCTGAAAGCCGGAATGGAGGAGACGGAGTAGAAGTCCATTGCTAGACAACAACTAGGTAAACACTTCTTCCAGTGGCACTGCATGTTAACAAAGGCATTCCCGTGATAGCACAACAGAACAGAGGAACTGTAAGACATGGTGACTTCTATCCCGGTCGCGTGGAAGTTATAAAAGGCAGTGAATTCGTAAATTTGATTCCAGTGTGGAGGAGGGGTCGAATGCCTCCACCGTAACCCTGCGAGTCGTAGGAGGAGACGAAAAGTCTCGAATCTGAGACAGTAAAATATGGTCGCGAATCCAAAGGGACTAGAAACCGAGAATGACTGCGCTGGCGAGGATCAGCAACAATTGTAAACGACATACCAGTCCTTTCGTCAGACACAGCATCCAAAATCAACAAACCCGCAACTGTCTGACGGTAATAAAAATCAGGCCCCAGATGGGTGCATGACTCCAAGACTGACTGGCCGATGGACCGTCGTTCGTACCCAAGACTCGACTCGAATTAGAGAGAACAGAGATCAGTCCGAGATTCAGACAGCGTGAGAGATTCGTGAGACAGACGTTGTTCAGAAGGAGTTCAATGTCTGAACTGCTGTAATTGATTTAACTGTAATTGCAGTGCCAATAAATTCAACCATCTAATCCAGAACCCATTATTACTCGTCATGCTAACCCCTTATACATGACAATACGTACTCAAAAAATCACCCAACATATCTCCTATGAAGAGCACGAATACATTCATAGATATAAATGTACGTAACAAGTTTCACTTTCAAATACTGCCCAGTAACAGAGAGACAGATTATTGCAGTTACAAGTCGCGGATCATGCCATATCCCTAATGCTACATTAATGAAGCCCACTGACTAATTCTGTGAAGAAGACTCCTTCATCAGAAGCTGACTGGCGCTCAACTAGTCAAGAAATCCCCTACATTTCATGTAGCCCACGGCAGTCAGTTAAGTTCAGTCTATACACTGTTTAAGGTCCACTTCACCTTTAACCTCATATCTAAGTATAAAATATTATTAATGCCGTCCAGTGTGATTGATAAATGTTCTGTTTTTTTTAAACGCAACATTTATCAATCACTGGATTTTATACGATTGCTAGTGTGAAGGGCCACGATGAACCAAGTCAAACTGAAATCTAAGCTTATGACTGCAAATCAGTCTCTTCCGCTCAAGATTTACGACTGAACTACTGTGATAATTAACATCCCTGTGTATAATGATAAATAAATAGGAACTTAAAAGAGTGCCTGACTATAAAATTTTACTCCGTGAATCACTTGAAGATCGCAGTGCGATATCCAGCAGCTACACACATTCACATTTCTTACTAACATGGCGGACACCACATTGCACTGACATTCTAAATTAGACTACGGAACGGCCCATTTAAAACAACGAATACTGGAAGAACTAATACCCAAATAATATGGTAAAATAAAGGTAAAGGTATCCCTGTAACAGGCTGTGGAGGTCCATAGGGTTGTGAAACGTCGAGGCTCCCACATCTTCTAGACAATCAGCTCACAGATGGCACTAAGGTTGTTAGCCTTATGCGCCGGCCACCCTTTACCCCCCAGGAATATTTCTGGTACTCATTTCTGTCAGAGGTGAGTCGACCCCAGGGCTATGAAGGATTAGGTAAATTGGAAAAAAAAATCCACCTCATCAGGACTAGAACCGACGACCTTCCGGCTTGTAGCATAGTGCCTCAACCAACCACGCTATCGCGTACGCCCTCCCCGAATAATATGGACTATTAGATTGTATATGGATCCATTCGTCACTAAAAGAAAATCAGAAAAGTCCTAGAACTCCGAACAGATTTAGTGTAAAGTCAGATATCTGTTAATAAACAGCGACTAAGACATGCACGTTTCGGCAAACACGTCGCTCCTAATCCAAAAGAACTTAAATACAACCACTTCCTCATTAATTACGGTAATTGCAGGAGAGAGCATAATTGATTCTATACACTGCATTAAGAGAGAAACTTTATGCCGAAAAAGAATAATGATATCGACCATAGAAGTGAAGAATTTAACGTGTGTACATTCTACAGACTGCAAAGGTAAACAAAGGCATTTCCTTACGGAGTGTATAACCATTTTCAATATAGGACCTACGTCTGTTTATTTCCCAGTACAGTGATTTCTTACAGACCGACAATTACAAGCGTGTGTGGGTTTTATATTTGTATCCAGTTTTCACAAATGTCACTTGTTTCACGTACCGCGGCGTCCCGGGTTCGATCCCGGGTCTAGTCAAGTGGGATTTGTGGTGGACAAAGTGGCGCTGGGGCAGGTTTTCTCCGAGTACTTTGGTTTCCCCTGCCAATCTTCATTCCACCAATTTCTCCACAATCAGGCTAACCTAACATTTGGGGCTGGGACAATCGGCCAGAAGTGGCCGCAGTGCAAGGGACTTAGTCCCACCCCACTAGCAATAAAAAAAATAGTTTCATGTATCTGTAATTCTTAATTCCAGTACACCGACACATAAAATATGAACAAGCATTTCCTGAAAAGCTGACAGTGGTTTCGCCAAGTAAAGAATTCCCCCCTCTATTATGGAAGCCGAGATCCACACAGTTCAGGGTGGGGTCATATAGCAAGGAGACTATTACACGGTAATGAAACTTCGGGGCCCATCAATTTTTTTTTATGATGAGCCACTACTAGCTTCTCAATGATCACTCTGCAACACGTTGCTATTTAATTAGTTCTATTAAACACTTATATTTAGTCCCCCACTCACAATAGCCGCCAATGGACCCTGCCTGAGCCAGCATAATCCAGTCTTCACCATAACAACCTGTTTCGTCAATATTCATTTTAATGCCAACCTACCATTTAAGACCAGTTCTCTCAAGTGATCGCTTGCCTTCAGCCCCAGTCTAAATTATCATAAAACAGCAGTTGTTACGCGTATACAAACAGAAAACAAAAGAATTTATGTCGTTTTCAATCAACTGCTTCAGTTGAATAAAAGCATGCAGGCTTGTGTATCCTAAAATAAAGGAACACACTCACAAATATCTTCTCTGTGAAGTTCAGCATTCATCAACGACCTAGGACAAAAAATTTTATACAGGTCAAGATTGGTACAGTAATATGTACCAAATAAAGAAATTTTCCAAGTGCGTCCTTGATCATATAGACCTACTACAGATACAAATATATTTTTTATTCCTAGTGGGGTGGGACTAAGTCCCTTGTACTGCGGCAACTTCTTGTCTATTGTACCAGTCCCAGATGATAGGTGAGGGTGATTGTGGAGCAATTGGTGGAATGAAGATTGGCAGGGGAAACCGAAGTGCTCGGAAAAAACCTGCCCCCGCGCCACTTTGTCCACCACACATCCCACTTGACCAGACCCAGGATCGAACCCAGGACGCCGCGCTGGGAAGCCAGCGACTAACCGCTTGAACTATGGAGCGGCGGAAGATACAAATATACTACTGCAAATTCACTCAACATTACACGTACCATATGATAGATCTGTTTCTCTCGGCGGTGAATATGAAAATATCTTTTGGGATATGAAAAGACGTCAAGTCTCTTATAATTTCCATGCAAAAGTGGATCAATCTACAGCTACGCTTTCTTATTTTTTAAAATGCCATTTCATACAAACACAACTTCGTGAGCATCTGTTCGTATGTGAGTGACAGTAAAAAAGACTAAACATTTTACCAGATGCTCACACTGACTGAGACACTAATGGCATCTACTGGATTGAAACAGTAGGTTCACTCGTAATTATAAATGTTCGTATAAATGAGGTTTAGTTTACGGCTCGCAAACCGAACAGACTCAAGACAAAAATTTGTGTATCATGCGGCCACATTATACACGGAGGCTGATTAACTGTATAATTACAGCATGGGCCGGACTTCGGTCACATAAAATAATCAGCTCCAATTTATTCATCGTAACTGTTACAGACAAAATGTAACTACAAGCATATGCTGCCGAATGTAAGGACGATGTTCCATCACAGTGATGGGTTGAGCAAAGCCGCATACTCTTCAAGGTCCTATAGATTGCTTACCGAGGTCGCAGCACCTTCCTTCCCTCTGCGATAATCGGAGGTGTGCGGCTTACAAGGGAACCTCCACGAACCAACCAGGTAAACATTATGTACGAACACACACAAATTATTCAGGAAATGCCTACATGGGTTTTGGTATCCTTAAGGCGCGTCCACATTACTCGCGAACATAGCGAGTCACACGAGCACGAGCACGAGTAATGTGGACGCGCGTTTAGAATTCTTCTATGGCCTCATGGTAATTATGATCGTCTTAAAAATGAATTTTAGATCCGGAGAACTATTGAAATATTTTAAATAATAATTCAGAACTTTGTCTAAGACACATACGAGTACTGTCTTTAACTGCTCAAAAAGTCGATGCGGGTCCGAATTCAGCTCAAGGAATGGTGTACGAGTTTTTCTGCGTTGTTTTGTCCTAGATACGTAGAAGCTTTGTTTTTTTTTCGTTTGGTGCGTCTTATTGTGTTTATTATGAAAATAATCTGTATTCCAACCATAGCGGACAAAATACACTGTAAAACGAGGCACCGGTTAAACAATAAATATCAAATAATACTACACCTATACCACGGGCCTCCAAGTAGTTAACTATACTCGTAAGTGTACAAGTCATGAATATACCGCTATATCTCCGCTGGAATATAACAAGATCTCAACAATTTACTTCATAATATGAAGCATTACATGAATAGTTCTTAACCATATTTTATTGTATAACTTTCGTTTTATAATAATTTTATAATTTCATTGTATTTTTATACCTTGCATTATAGTGTAACGTAGTTGTCAAGTATCCAGCTCCATTGTACCATCACACTGA